ATCTCTCGAGGCAGAGTGACAGCGGAAGGCTGCCAGGAGCCCCAGGGGAGGGCCCGGCCCCAAAGGCTGCCCGTTTTGGGATTGTGTTCCTTCTGTGGCTGAGACGGTTGGTGAGGCAGAGCTGGGAGCTGGCCTCTGGTAGGCTGGTGGGCACTAGGACCCCCACATGGGGGCTTTGCAGTGTGTCTGCTGGCATTCCCCAAAGGGGCTTTGCGTGGGGGGAGGCAGGTGACTCCCATTTCCAGGTGTGAGGCTTCCTCAAGCCCACGGCTCGGGGAGGGCAGGGGACCTGGAAGTGGCTTCCTAATGCCAGTCCTGCCCACTCCTCATGAGTCAGCCCTGGGCACAGGCCTGAGTCCCGCCCTCAGCTCTGCCCCGTCTCACCAACACCTGCTTGGCCTCAGCTCCACATCTCTGTAATGAGGAGTCCAATGGACTGACGTCCAGAAGCAGAGGTAGGAGGGAGGCCCCAGCGCTCCCTTCCAGGTGTCTCCAAAAATGTCCCTGTCCCCACTACACCCCAGGAGGTGGGGGTGTCGGAGCTGTGCCCTGGGTGGCAGCAGGGTGAACAGCAGCCCTCCAGGGACCTGGGAATCTCTCCAGCACATACACACACACAGCCGGGAAAACTAGCAGGGAAACCAGAGTGTTGATAGCGGCTGCCAGGCGTAGCAGCTCATGCCTGTAATTCCAGCATTTTGGGAGGCCAAGCCAGAAGGATGGCTTGAGCTCATGAGTTTGGGACCAGCCTAGGCAGCAGAGCAAGACTCCACCTCTATTAACAGAAAAATATTAAAAAGAAAAATATATATACAACAGCCACTCATGGCTGGCCCCTTCTCCAGCCTGGAGACGCGTTTACAGTGGGGTAAAATAGTTGGTGTCGCCTCACCCTCCCCACCAATGGTCCCAGATGGCTGCATAACGGCCTCATTCCCTTACACTTCTAGGCTGGGATGAGCAGACTCACACCATAGCCATGCAACACCAAAACCATGAAGTGAAACCCACCAGAAAGCCAGTCCCAGCTCCCACACACGGCTGTGGGGTCGGCAACTTCAGTCTGAAGGTGCTGCTGTGAAACCCAGCGTGACAGACCCTGGGCCAGTGAGAGGAGGAAGATGCCCGGGCAGCTGGAGTGGGGATCTTGAGCTGTGAACAGTGCCCAGAAGGGACCATCCACTCTCCCTCCCACCAGGGCCTCCCTGAGGCGGACAAGCTTGGCAAATCCTGGCTCCAGGCCCCCCCTAGGGATCAGGGTCCCCCATTTGCACCCTTGTGGGACCCTCAGCACGTCACAGCTGCCTCAGACCTCCTGAGGCCACCGTCCCGCCCCTGAGTGAGGCTGTGCACAGTCCCTCCCAGGCTGTCGTGGGCTCATGTGGACACTGTGGAGCACTCAGCCCAGGCCAAGGCTCAGGGGATCCTCTATGACCTTGGCAGCGTCCTCAAGGCCACAAGTGACAAACTACTTGTGCTGGGACACAGAGAAGCCATGTCCCCTCCTGGCCCTACTGGCTGTGCGGGGTCACTCTGGATGCTCAATGAGACATCTCGGGTCTGCAGGGGCCGAGGGGCAGGAAGGAGCCAACCTGTGCCCAAGACTCAGGTTCCAAGGTGGTCTTGGGCTACCCAGGGAGGAGGGCTCAGGATACCCCAGCATAGCCTCCATCACAGAATTCTGTATCCATTGCTTCCACACACTGGGGGTCCGGGGTAAGGATCAGGGTGAACAGAGGACCTTAAAGCTTATGAGAAAGAAAAACGGGCCAGGCACAGTGGCTCATATCTACAGTCCCAGCACTGTGGGAGGCCAAGGCAGGAGGATCACTTGAGCCCAGAAGTTCGAGACCAGCCTAGGTGGCATAGAGAGACCCCATCTCTATAAGAAAATTTTGTTTAATTAGTTAGGTGTGGTAGCGCACACCTGTAGTCCCAGTTACACGGGAGGCTGAGGTGGGAGGATGGCTTGAGCCTCGGATGTGGAGGTTACAGTGAGCCAAGATTGCACCACTGCACTCCATCCTGGATGACAGAGCAAGACCCTGTTTAAAAAAAAAAAATTCTTTTAAAGTAAGAAAGAAAAAGAAAGTTTAGGGGGTGCTGGCTTTGGGCTGGGTCCCTGCCTGGAAGCCTAGAGATGGGGTCAACTCCATCCTTCCTCAGATAAAACGTGAAGAGGTGGAGGGAAGAGATGGGCATCGGGGAGCCTTCCAGATCTGACACTCCGGGATCCTAAATTGGAGTCAGAGCTCACATTTCGGGTTGTCCGCTTCCTGGAGACCCTGGACCCGGTCTCCCATGTCCCCCATGTCCCAGCACATCCCAGCTCGGGGCTAAGGTGGAAACAGGAGCAGCGTGAGGAGTTCGGGGCTGATACAGAAACAGACAGCATCCTGCAAGCGCTCCCGTCCAAACCAGTCCGGCGCAGACAGCTATTCTTAGTGCACAGGGACCCAAAATTAAAACAGAGGAAGCGCCAGCTCCCTCGGCGGTTTGGGAACTTCCCTGAATATAAGGTTCCAGCCACAAAAATCCCACAGCTGGGAGTGACAGGGCGTCAGGGATGGCGGGGAAAAGGCTTATGCAACACTGGCCAGGTGCGCCCAGAGGGGACGCGAACCGCCGTGCCCTCTTCCTGCCTCAAAACCGCTCTGGTCCCTCTCGGAGGGAGGCTGCCTCAGAGGATCCCTCCCCCGCGGTGAGAGAGGCCTCCCGGTGACTGTGACGGCAGGTTCGGATGGACGGAAGGGCGAGAGCGTGGGACGCACCAGGACTCCAAGGAGGCCGCACATCACCTGCTCTGTGTACCGGGGCGTCCTCGGCAGCGCAGGAGACCTGGGCCCACAGTAGGCACCCAAGCAATGCCCTATAGGTGCGTGAATGAGGATCTCATGGGATGCACAGCCTGATGAAACATCGGCCCCCAAAGACTGTGTGGAATGTGCCATCCAGAAAACATAAGAGCCAGCACCGCCATGGGGCCAAGACAGGCTCTCAGCCAGCCCTGGGCCATCAGATCCGTGTTCCCCAGTCAGACGCCACACTCCCAAGAGGGAAACCCACAGCTGAACTTGTTATCCAAGCTCACAGGGCTCTGTCCTAAACCATCCCATGCGACCCTCCTCAGGCATCCTGGAACTGCAGCTCCCTCCTTACGAATCACACCCACCCAGGCTGACCTTCCCGGAGACGGCGAAGCCCCCCAGAAGACACCAAACCATTCAGCTCCTGCCACAGCCGCCAGGCTGGCCTTGGGCATGGAGTGGAGAGAACCGTCCCAGGGAGGGGACAGAGGAGAGACCAAGGACCCCGGCAGCATCCCACCTGGCTGTCCTCCTCCTCGGCTGGGCTGGAGCCCAAGAACCCAGGCCCCGAAGGAGAGCGCTTGGAGCACAGGCTGTCTGGGGTTGCCCTTGGCAACAAGCTCACCACTGCTAGGTTCTGCTGCGTCACCCCCAAACAGTTCAAAGGAACCCCTGGCTCAGCGGTCACAGCTGGGTAAGGACAGAAAGTGGAGCAGTGCAGCCCCCCAAACCACAGGGAGGCCTCTGCCAAGTGATGGGACAGAAGGAGCTGAAGATGAGGCCTGAGGCCACAAGACCCAAGCTATGAAGGAACCCCAAGACCATGAGAGGACCCCAAGACCATGAAGAGAGCTCTAGACCATGAGATGACCCCCCCAGACCACAAGGGGAACTCCAAACCATAAGGGGATCCCCAAACTATGAGGGGACCCCAGACCACCAGGGGACCCCCAGACCACTGTGGCAGGCCCAGAGCCCCCATGGCCGCACAGGCTGCTGTCTGCCCTCACGGCATGGCCCCAAGCCGGCCCAGGGAACCAGGTCCACATCAGCTCTGGTCATTGCTGCCCTCAAGCTCCCACCACGGCTCCCATGCACTATAACAGCACGGTTCCTGCAGAGGCTGCAGGTCCTCAGCCTGGAGCTCTCCCTGCCCTCTCTGGACGACATCTCACTGCCCCATCTGGGAAAGTCTCCTCATACACACACGCTCCGCAGCCCTGGCCCAGGCCTGCGGTGCTGTTCCTCAGCCCCAGCACTTCTGGGCCGCTTCTGGCGCTTGGGCATCCTGGCCCAAGGTTCTGCCTTGCGGTGGGGGGCGGGGGGGAGTGTCTCTGAGGCCCCTCCACAGAACAGCAGCGCCGCCCACTGCTCTGTCGCCTCCACCCGCTTCTCAGTTTGGTCCTTCTCCACAGGCATCACCCTCTGGAGCTGGGTGTTCACAGCCGCCTCCCCCAGGACAGTACTCCAGCTGCCCTGCCTTTGTTTCCCACGGACCCATGCCCAGAACAGCGCCTGGCATGTGGGCTGTGCGCAGAGAGAGCGTGGAGGGTCTCCTCTCCCTGGAAAGGGTGCTCCCCACCCCTGAGCTCACCTCCAGGAGCCCCTGCAAACACCAGCCAAGGCAGCTGCATCGGCCCACAGCCCCCCGGCCGCCCACAGCGGGCTGCACGGGAGCACAGGCATACCCACGCGTGTGCACACAACACACACAGTACAGGGGACGTCGCTCAGACTCGATTTGGCTGCACATAAGAAAAAAAACCAAAAGCCCGAGATTCAGTCCCCACACACAGGAAGCCTGGGGTGAGCCGCCTGCTGTGTCAGCAGGGAGTCTCGCTCCTCACACCTCTGCTCCGCTGAATGGGTTTCATGCTCAAAGTTACCTCCTGGCCCAATATGAAAGCTGGAACTCCAGCCATCACAACCACAGTCCAGACAGTGGAAAAGAGAAAGGGGAGGAAGGTGAAGGGACCTCTCCAGCCACCTGCCTGCCTTCTAAGAAGCCTTCCAGAATCCTTCCAACGCTTCCCACTCCTCTCACAGGCCAGATCTATCAGGGAGGCTGGGAAACATCTTTTCTCCAGGTGCACCCCCTCTCTGAATAGAGCTAGGGTTCCCAGGGACGCCTGGCCAAGGGTGGGCATGGGTTCTCTCTGGCCCTGGGCAGCCTTGTGATCGGGCACCACTCACCATGAGGATGCGCCGGTAGCTGTCCCGGTCTATCCCCCAGAGCTTGAGGTCTGTCTTGGCTTTCACGGTTGCAGCCCTGGGGGTGCCGTAGATGAGCGCCAGCTCCCCGAAGCTGCCTCCCTCGCTGATGTTGGTCACCCACTCTCCGTTCACGTACACCTTTGGGGAGCAAGAGAGAGAAGCATCATGGGGGCCAGGCAGGGTGATCTCTGCACCCCGAGCAGAAAACCCCTCTTAGCTCTCTCCAGAAGAGGGTCCATGCAGGGTGGGGCACAAACCCTTTTGCTTGTGGGTAGAACCCTGCATTTCCCAGCGATGGGCCTGTGGACCCCAGGGCCCGCCCTACCCCCATCCCCACCCCCGCTCAGAGCCACAGTGGGACCACATCAGACCCCCAAGGCAGGTGGGCCCCAAGCTGCCAGTGCCGATGAGACCACCACACCAGAGGTGGAAGCACCCTGGCCCTGCTCTGCAGCACAGCGGCCTCAGCCTGCTTCCTGGGCAGTGTCTGATTCAATTCATCAACTATTCACTTGGCCTCCTGTGCCTCAGTTTCCCTAGCTGCGCCACAATGAGTTGGAGCCTGGGATCTCCACAGGGCTCTACTCTGGGGCCCTGTCTACTTCCTGTCCTCTCCAGGGCATTCCTCTGTCCCCACCTCCATCGACACATGCCACTGGGCCCAACGGAGCAGGGCTGCTTCGAGTGCAGACCTCTCCTGCCAGGGCCTCCCTCCCTACAGGCAGTGCCTGAGCTCCTAGGGCTGGAGTCTGAATGGGCGCCCTATGGCTGGGCACCACGGCTGAGCTGCTCCTGAGAAGGAGCCCAGACAAGATTCCCTTTCAGCTCGCATGGGCTACCGCCCCTGCACAGGGCGCCCACTATATGCATTGACCATGCACAGTCGGTGTCCGTGCAAGAATAGTGCAGATTGTTTATTATGCAGTGATTATGCAGATTTGGTTACTATAAATTGACACAATACTCGCTTTATCCCCTCAGCGTGTCAATGAGCTTAAAGAATAGTTCTCATTGCCAAAGCAGTTCCCACTGGTTGCGTATCGGGAAAGAATGGATTGCGATGAATCATGGAATCAATTCTTATTGAAATCAATGACTCATTATCTGGATAATAACTGAGGCACAGAGTCTTCTATCTGAAAGAAAACACCATGCAGGTGGGACTGCACAATTAGGTGTAAGCGAGGGCTGGGGAGAACCGGCCGGCCACGAGGTTTCAGGGGCACGGGGATGACCACTGTGCAAAGGCAGGCTCTGCCTGGGTGGACTGTGGAGCGGTTTGCATCCATCTCCACCTGGCCCACCAGGCTCCCCAGTTCCTGGAGGGAGGCTGCATCAGGATTATGGGGTCAGAAGAAACACCAGCTTTCCCCCAACGATCCCCTCCAGGAATCAGAAGACAGCTCCTTCCACGGAGCCAGAGAGTGCCCACCTGTGTGTGTAGGGACATGTGGATGGGGCAGCAACTCCAGCGTTTTAGGGGCGAGGGGACCTCAGAGAACACCCTCCAGAACCTCTGCCTCTTGCTTCTCAAAGGGGACCCAGAGCTGAGGGAGGGCCATCGATGAAGCTAGGGGAGGGCCGGCGAGGGCCTGGGCACAGCCTGGCCTCCCACCTCACAGTGGACACTCCCACTTTGTCTGTGTTTTTGTGACCAGTTTATGGAGGCATCAGTTGCAGATAGGAACGGGCCCGACTCAAGTGCGCAGCATGGTGAGTTTCACATTGCTTACACAAGGTCCCCCAAAGTCCCAAGGGACTCTTCCCCAGAGGAGTCGGAGCTCATCCTGTGGGTCTCATGGTGTCTATCCGTGCTGCGGGTGATGGACTCCAGGGTGCACAGCACATCGTGCTGCCAGGAGCATCCCCATTTGTGACGTGCATGCCTGGGTTGGCACTGGCTGCTGGCTCGGCTTCAGCAGGCGTTCTGCACTAAACGCCATCGCCTTCCAGCACCCTCTGCACAGAACACTGTTCAACAGGGGCTCCTCCCTCCAGCACCCTCCCAGCTAAACACCGGCACCCTCCCTCCACCACCCTCCAGGCTAAACACAGTTCCAATGGGGGCACCTCCATCCAGCACCCTTGGCACTTCTGTTCAATGCAGAGGCCTCTTGCTGAGCCTTGAAAGCAATGTGAACTCAGAAGACGTGAACTTGAGGCCAGGAGGGGGTTGCTTGACACAGGAGAGCCAGGGAGGTGGGTGGCATCTTGTGCCTCAGGAGGTGGGTGAGCCTCTTGGCCCCTTTGGAAAATGAGGACACCATCCCCTTGAATGGCTGCCCAGGCAGGTGGCGGAACACCCCCATCCCCTGGCAAAGAGCCTGAGAGCCTGGGTCCTGGGAGCAGAGAAGGGTGGGTCTCCACAGAGCCAGCCCAGGATGGCTGCAGCTCCCACCTTTCTGGGGTTCAGCCACCAAGAGGGGTCCATGGCTGTTGCGGCTGCAGGCAGGACCCAGGGAAGCTGGGCCAGGACGTGCTGCCCGTGAGTCCTGGAGAAGCCCGAGGCCTCCAAGCGCTCCCTCCAAAGCCTCAGAGGAAACCATTGTGCGGGTCCCGCAGACAGCCAGGGCCGCACTGTGCCCGGCGGCCCAGAGGACAAAGGGGCCATCCTTCTCAGGACACTGGCCTCTGTCACCGCTCCGGGCACAGTGCGGGCCCCACCCCAGCTGGTACGCAAAGGGGCTACTGCTCGTTGTGGCTCATTTTTTTGTTTTGTTTTCTCTTCTTCTTTTTTAAAAAAAAGCACGATGGGGGCCCCCCGCGGGGCAGCATTTATACCCCACCATCACTGCAGCTTCTCTGGCACAGTGCCCAACTCACACCCGGCTCTGCCCTGCTCCCCTCCACCTTCCCTCGCTCACCCTGTGTGTTTAGAAGCTGATAGTGGGGCGGGGGTGCCAGGGGCTGGGGGAGGGGCATGGGCAGGGAGTGTGTCATGGGGACAGAGCCTCAGTTCAAGAAGACGAGAACATTCTGGACGTGGACAGTGGTGATGGTTGCAACACATCATGAATGTGCTTAATGCCACTGAACTGCATACTTCAAAACGGTTAGAACAGTCAACATTGTGTGTCTTCTAGTACAATTAAAGTAGGGCCGAGGGCAGTGGCTCAGGGATCAACCCAGCCCTTTGGGAACCCAAGGAGGGAGGACTGCTTAAAGCCAGGAGTCTGAGGCCAGCCCAGGCAACATAGCAAGACCCTGTCTGCATAAAAAAATTAAAATCAGCTGGATATGGTGACGCACAGCTGTGGTCCCAGCTTCGAGGGAGGATTGTGTGAGCCCCAGAGTTCAACGTTGCAACGAGCTATGATCACGCCACTGCACTCCAGGCTGGGCGGCAGATCGAGACCCCATCTCAAAAAAATAAAAAACAAATTTTAAAAACACACCGAACACAAGACACACCCTGGATAACATTCCACCCTGACCCCAGGACCAGACCACCAAGCCGGGGTACCCTGCTCCAGGGGAACACCCAGCCGCCTGGTGGTGCCTCTCTGGCCCCCCAGAAACAGCTCTTCCCCAGACGTGTTGTGTGGAACCGAGGGAAGCCCGGGACGGCAGACGTCAGCATGGACCACAGGACACCTGGGACGGGAGCAGAAGGAGGGAGTCCTGGAATAACAGGGGCCTGAAAACAGTCAGAGGAGGAATGGAACCCCAGACAGGGCTTGAAAGGAAGCTACGTTCCTGGGCCCATGAAGTCGGCAGCTGAGTGTCCTTTTAAGTAGAAATGCTATGTTCCATGAATAAAATAAATTGGAAGATATTTTTATACTTAGAAAAATGGATTATAGCTCTTGGCAACACACAGATGGCAGCAGGCACTTTCGGAGTCTCTGGAAAACCACAATTTAAACTGAACCTGGTGCTCTTGGCATTTGGTCACCTGGCCGTCCCCTGGGGCACTGCTGGTCAGACGGCAGTGTCCACCCTGCAGAAGTGGGTGACATCCACCCCCAAGCCCTGCTGGTTTAAAGGGCCTGGGCCGGGTCCTCAAGGGGATGGCTTCCCGCTGGCCGTCGGGCACTTGGCCACCACAGCCGTCTGTCCTTTCCCGCCACCCAGAGTAAACCAGGGTCCCACTCTCCTCAGGAACCCACTCCAGCCCCGGGTGGCCCTAGTTCTGCAGCCACGAACCCAGGCACATCCATCCCATTGCCCCAGGGAGGCAATTTACAGAAACCAGCAAACAAAATGCAGTGCCCAGGGCTCACACAGCAGCTGGACTGAGCTGCCTGGGGCCGCCATGCGGCAGTTGCCCCAGGCGCTGTAATAACAGTAATTATTATAATCCATGTGTCCATAACTCACCCCTGCTACCCGACATGGCACTTTTTCATTCCAGATTCCTTACTGAGCATCCTTTGATTCCCTTAAATGTGGCCTTCACCCACATGGCCCCTGCATGTTTACCCGGCACGGGAAGGGCCTCCCACATCACAGGAGGCCCTGCAGGCAGCTCCTGTGCCCGGCCCCACCCGGCCCCGCCAGGCGCTCCCCGTCGCCCACCCTGCCCCCGCTGGAAAATCTGAGATTGATGGAGGTACTTGGCGTTCGTGCACAGCCGCGAGGGGCTCGAGAGATGGCCCCATAAGTCACAGCCCGTCCCCGCGGGAGGCCCGGCCGTCCCACGCTAGCCTGTAGCCAGAAAGCGGGCATCCACCCACGGGGCTCAGACATCCTGGCTCTGGTGGGCTGGGTCCAGCAGGGGCCTTAAAGCTGCCTTTGTGCCTGACCCAGGGGCCAGGGAGGGGGCAAGAATAGGGCAGGAGGAGGGGGAGGGAAGGGGAAGGATTTACCGGGACAATATATTTGGGAAACTCCAGTTACACGAAGGTGACCTCACTCTTTCCTTTCACAAAATTGCTTCCCAACATCCCCAGGCCTTGCGAGAAGCTAGCCAGGATGCCACAGCGAGCTGTGTCTGAGAGAAAACCTCCCCCCTCCACTCGGGCTTCAGCCGAGACCCCACGCTGACCAGGCCCCATCTGGGGCTGGGGCTGGGGCTGGGGCTGGGAGGGGACCCTGTGAGCTCAGGGCTTGAGGAAAGGTTCCCTGCTTTGAAGTGGCTCCAGAACAGGCCTCTACCACCGCCCTGTCATGTACAAAGGAGTTACAGATAGCTGGTGCCAGCGCGGTAGGGCAGCTTTGTCCAGGATGGAGGGAAGGGAGAAGCCTCGCTGAGTCCAGAGGTGGAGAGGCAGGCGGGGATTCTGTGAGCTGGAGGAGGAGGAGCTCCCTCCGGAGTTCCACGTTCGCCAGGAACACAGCACCTCCTGGCCCCTTGGCCGTGATCCTGGCCCAGGTGGGGCTCCCGGGAGCCTTGAGGCCAAGAATGGAAAGACGGGCCTGATTCCTCCGGCAGTCACAGCCCCCGGGCCCTCGCACCCTCGCCTCTCCTAGGAAGTCCTCAGTACGCTGCTGGCTGGGGCCTGGCGCTGGGCAGGAGGGTGGCCACCAGTACCAGGGATTAGGACAAGGTTATTCGAGGGTGGAGGGCGTTTCCTCTGAGGAGTGAACAAGGCTCTTATGGGTGCATTTGTTGGGAATGTGAGGTGGGGTGGGGTAGCTGCCAGGTGGCCAGTGGGTTCCTGAATGACGGGACACAGGAGCTGCATGGACAGAGACCCTGTCACCCCACACCAGGTGCTGTGAGCGGAACCTTGGGAGGATTATCTCAGAGTCTTCCCAGCAGCTGTGAGCTCTGTTCATTTCTCTGAGTAATATGGAAATGGCACGACTCAGTGACACAAAGGCCTGGGCAAGATCATGGCCAGCAAAGAAAAGAGCCTGGATCCTCTGAGCCCCAAGTCCATGTGCTCCTGAGCCGTCCGCCACCCTCCTTGAGACACCGGTTAGGAGGGGACAATTAGACACCAGGACCCACAGCGTGAACTGGAAGAGGAGCTGTGAGCAGCATGAGATGTGGGGCTGTGTGGAAAGCAGTGGGTCCAGTCGGGAACCCACCTACCCCACACCTCCCACAGAGGCAGCTCTGCTCTCAGCACTGCTGACCACGAGGCAGGCCTGGGCTGCCAGGTCTCTCTGGGATCAGCCCTGGTCTCTCTGGGATCAGCCCTGCCCCTTCTGCTGGGTGTTGTGCCCCATTCCCTGCAGCCCCCCATCAGACCCTGGTGTCTGGACTCAGGGCACAACGGGGCCACATCCTGGGATGGGCCCAGGCCCCAGGACGATGCCCAGCTGGGACGCTGGCCTCATCCTCCTCTGTCTTCTCTATTTCCTGGGCTAGGCTTTTTTTAAACCCAAAGCAAAGCCAGCAGGAGATGACTCTGTGGCCTGGCATCTGAGCCCAGGACTGACCCGCCACGCCGCCCTCCAACCTCCCCCTCCACACTTCCTCTGAGGTCAGGCAGTCCCCGGGACCTTTGGCACCTGCCTCAGTTTCCGTCTTTGGGGGAGACAGGAGCACCCCCACTCCCCAACACAAAGGTCTGCCCCAGATGCCTGGTTTAGGGGCTCAGCTGTGGGTTCCAGCTCAGGGCGAAGAGAAACCTGGTTCTTTCTCTGCCTGCGCAGGCCGGGCCCAAGGCACATGCCCCTCATGGGGAGGTGGGACCCCTGAGTCATTTCCTGTGCTATCAGCTCCGGAAGCCGAGTGGGGCTTTTCAGGTTCCCAGAAAAACGGCAGTGATGGAGGACACACACGGCTGCCACGGAAACGAATGAGTAAATGGCCTCCCCAGAATAGCGTGGCCTGGACAGACACACAGCCACCACAGGCCAAACCTCAAGACAGCTCATGCTGGGCACCAGGGGGTGGCGTCGCCTGTACAGCAGAATGCAGAGGCCGAGTCCTGGGGCAGGTGGACGAGGAGAAGGGCATGCAGGCGCCCCAGACCCGAGCAACTCAGCCAGCCTGGGAAGCAGTGACCGTCTCGGGTATCACAAACCCCCAAAAAGCCCTGCACTAGGGGCTTCCAGTCTGTGCAGAAAGGCCATAAAGAGACGGTCTCATGAAACACCATCACCATGAGCTGCAGAGGGTCCTGCAAGGGAGGCAAGGGACATCTGCTAACGCCCACTGGGAAGTGACGTTTAGCAGAGAGCAAAAGGGGTTACCGGCAGAGGGGTGAGCACACCGCGGCCCTGGGGCAGCCAGTGCAGGCACATTCCAGGAACCGAGGGAAGATGGTGTCACCCAGGTCCTTCCCCGTAAACTGCAGGGAAGTCAGAGGCCCCGGCCTGATTCAAAGGGAAACAGACTCCTCAGGGGTGTTTTCCCAGAGACTGCACCAGCAGCTCTGTGCACCGGCAAGGTCAGGCTGCCCTGTGCAGGTGGCCTGCAGAGCAAGAAACTAGCGGGGGATGAGGGGCCTCAACGCCTTCACGCCAGGGCACCAGGGCTCTGAACCAGATGCCAGAGAAGATGGGAGTCAGAGGCTCTGGAGGGGACCTGGCTGGGGTGATGCCAGTGTCCCAGCCTGGCCACAGGGCACAAGACAGGATCTCCAGGGGAGGGGACGCTTCTCCTTCCAAAACAGTGGGAGCATCTCATAAAAGTGTGGGTCCCTTCAGTCTTGAGGCAAGCATGAGAAGATGACACAGTGAGACTCAACTCCGCCTGGGCACTCCGAGTACGGAGCCGAACGTGGGTGCAACAGGCAGCCGTCATTTGATCACGAAGTCATTGGTGCCATGGGGTCTGGAAGCACATCACTCTCCCACCCACTTTGAGATGTTAACGTCCCATGTGGTGGGTGAGCCTGGTGTATTCCCTGGCCTTGGACCTGGAGACACTGTTAGGTCAAACAGAACCCTGGCCAGCACCCAGCAGTCCCAGCTCAGGGCAAGCAAAACAGCATCCCTGAGCCGCACCTGCCAGCATCGTCCTTGTGGCACTCTGCACTTTCCATATCCCCATCTTCTCCTCTAAGTGGCACGAATCACTTTTCTGGATTGAAACATCAGAAACACCTGGCACTGCACAGAGGGTGAGTCTCTAAACTGGACATGCAAAGACGCACTGTTTTCTAGAGACAGTCAGCAATACTCACATCTACTTCTCCTTGGTCAATTACATAGAAGTTGTCTCCTTCATTCCCTGTAACAAAAGCAGGACAGCAGATACAAAGTACATCAACACATGTAAGTTACAGAGTTTCGCTTGCAAACAACTTTGCAACACTGTTGCATAGACCCTTATCAAGCAAAATCCTGGGTGTAGTCAATTCTTTTTTAAGGATAAGAACATTATGGAAATATTGAGTTAACTTGCTAAACATCCTCTTCTTAAGTTTCATTAGTGAACTTTCTCTAGAAATGAGAGTTGGTTTTTATTATTTTTTTTTTCTTTTTCTGAGATGCAGTCTTGCTCTGTTACCCAGGCTGCAGTGCACCGGTGCAATCTCAGCTCACTGCGGCCTCCACCTCCTTGGTTCAAGCAATTCTCCTGCCTCAGCCTCTGGAGTAGCTGAGATTACAGGCACCTGCCATCACACCCAGCTAATTTTTTTTTTTTTTTTTTTGTATTTTTAGTAGAGAGGGGACTTCACTATGTTGGCCGGGCTGGTCTCTTAACTCCTGACCTCAGGTGATCTGCCCACCTCAGCTTCCCAAAGTGCTGGGATTACAGGCATGAGTCGGCTCGCCCAGCCTAACAATGAAAGTTTTATACACGTATGTGTGTATGTATGTGTGTATATATATGAATATATATATATACACACACACACAACTGTATATTACTTTATATTTAGTTTCATACATATATATTTTTTATTGTTACTTAGTATTTAGCTTTATAGATATATGTATCTTTTATACATACACATATGTATACATGTGTATATGTACACAGAATATATGTACACATGTGCATATTATATGTATGTGTATATATACTTTTTTAAATCTGAGACAGAGTCTCTCTCTGCCACCCAGGCTGGAGTGCAATATTGGGATCTCGGCTCACTGCAGCCTCCTCCCAGGTTCAAGCATTTCTCCCTCAGCCTCCCAAGTGGCTGGAATTATAGGCACCCGCCACCATGCCCAGCTAATTTTCATTTTTAGCAGACAGGGCTTCACCCCATGTTGACCAGGCTGGTCTCGAACTCCTGACCTCGGGTGATCTACCCGCCTCAGCCTCCCACAGTGCTGGAATTCCAGGTGTGAGCCATCGCGCCCAGCCTTATACTTTTCTTTTTTTTTTTTTTTTAATGCATAGTCCATTTTCCGCCTGGGCGTTGGCTCAGAGAAGCAGGCAGAACGTACCTTGCTGAATAACCGTCTCCCCAGCGATGTGAGTAACAGGAAACATGGCATCAAATATGTCACTGAAAAACAAAACACGCCAAATGAGGGCTGCAGGTGGCACGGGCCATTGAAACCCCTCCCCCCCTCACTTCAGAGTCCTGTTTAATTCAATTCACAGTCATCAGGGAAAACAAGAAAATCATTCGAGTTCAAAGAAGAAAATCAAAACCTTCATGACCCGAGGTCCAGAGGTGGCGCTGTGAGCTGCAGCCCCGTTGCAGTGGTGTGCACACACAGTTTGCTGTTTTGGTTTTTCTAGAAATGGATCACACTATACATGCATTTTGAACTCCATTTACCAAAACAAAAGTAAGACTAGATTGTGAACATCTCTCCCATCCGTAAATACAGTTCTACTAGAATACAACCAAAAATCATGATGACGTGTTTTCTGCATTTTTTTCCTTCCAGGGAGAACACTTTCAGTTGAAGGGGAACCTGAGGCCCTTGACACAGAAGTGAGATGTGTGTTCAGAGCCTCTGTGGAAAACACAGACGCTTTGTGACACGCAAACTCGAAACCGGAGAGGCTGAGTCGAGGCTGTGCCAACCGAGCAGTCTGGCCGTCTGATGTTCCAAATCTAGATGTGAAGTGGACCATGCAAACAGGACCCAAGGGGCATGGGGGAGCTGGCAAAGGCACCTGGGAAAAGTGGGGAAGCACCTGTCAGCCAGGAAGTTCTGGAGCGCCTGCCCCAGAACACGGTGCTGGCATCACACTCTTACTAACAGATGCAATAACTATCTTCGGAGACCAGGCCCTCCGTGAGCACTCAGCACCCCCAACATGATGCAGAGAAACCAGAAGCCCAGGCAGGGATTGCACCCACTGAGACTCTCCCGGGACGGCCTCCTGCCTGCCCTGATGACTTAAAACAGAGATTCTTGGCAACCTTTGCCATGCACAGGTGGTCCCTGACTCCTGGAGGTGGGGGCTGAGCTACCCAGGAAACAAACCTGAAATCGAAGGTCCAGACAACCCTGACCCTCCTGATTCCAGGGTCCATAAATAAGTCATTCTTAAAATGGTGGTTGTTTTCTATTTAAGAAATGCTTCTTTTCTGAGTCCTTGTTCCCAAATTCACTGACAACCCAGTTTCCTGTTTCCTCCAAGAGGCAGGCAGAACTATAGAAGGAGTCAGTGAATAGCAGAGCTGGGGGAAAGTCTGGGGGCCTCCACTGTCCTCTCGCCTGGGGAGTGGTCAGTTGGTGCCAGAGCTGGGGCCACCACTGTCTTCCCACCAGGGGAGGGGTCGATGGTGGCAGGACTGGGGGAGAACTGGGGAGCCTCCACTGTCCTCCCACCTGGGGAGGGGTCAGTTGGTGCCAGGTCTGGGGGAGGGCTGGGAGCCTCCACTGTCCTTGAATCCGGGTGGTGGGTGCCTGGCCATGCTGCCCCAACCCCAGTCCCAGGCACCTGGCCACCATGGGAACATTTCCTGGCCACGGCCTCCCTGGTGCACATCTGCAGGAGCTGTCCTGGCACTGCGTTCCAACTGTATTTCTTCAAAACCACAAAGTACGGGTTCTCAGAACGAACGGATCTTCAAGAAATAATTTCACAACTCCTCCCTCTTTTAAAAAAAATTTCAACTTGTAATGGTAAAATATTCCAGTAAATGCCATAAGTAATCAAACGGACACTGTGTACCCCTCACCACCCAGCTTGGGACTATGCTGCCCTGACCCCTCTCTCCTGGAAAGCTGACCGTCATCACTGCTTCAGCTCCAGCCTTCTCTGGGCCTGGGTGTGGCGGGCAAAGGCCACCTCCACCACCCTTGCTCTGTGTTGCCACTTCACACATGGGCATTCATGGTCACATGTGGGCATCCATGATCACACACGTGTGCATCTGCAAAAAGGCTGCATCTAATGATGTCTGTATCACTGCACATCACTGACATAGACACCCTTTGCAATTCTATTCTCTCTCGACACATATGTTCTGAATTGCACTTGGATAAAACACAAATCTGGTAAGCTTCTTAACTCCTTTTTTTTTAAGATAGAGGCCCCACCTTTCACCCAGACTGGAGGGCAGTGGTGCTATCTCGGCTCACTGCAACCTCTGCCTCCCAGGTTCAAGTGATTCTCCTGCCTCAGCCTCTTGAGCAGTTGGGACTACAGGCGCACACCACCATGCCTGGCTAATTTTTATATTTTTAGTAGAGACAGAGTTTCACCATGTTGGTCAGACTTGTCTCGAACTCCTGACCTCGTGATCCACCTGCTGGGATTACAGGCATGAGCCACCGTGCCTGGCCTGCTCCTTTCCTCCTTTATGGCTACCTAGTATTCCTTTTTTTTTTTTTTTTCTTCTTCAGAGATAGGGTCTCATTTTGCTGCCCAGGCTGGAGTGCAGGGGTGGGATCACAGTTCACTGTAGCCTTGAACTTCTGGGCTTAAGGTACCCTCTCACCTGAGCCTCCCGAGTAGTTGGCACTACAGGTACCTGCCGCTACACTTGCCTGTTTTGTTTTTTTTTTTAATAGATGGGTCTCACTACGTTGCCCAGGCTGGCCTCCAACTTCTTGCCTCAAGTGATCTTCCCACCTTGGTCTCCCAAAGTGCTGGGATTACAGGCATGAGCCACTGCATCTGCCCCACCTGGCATTCTCTATATGAACACCCTTGTTCCTTTACCTGTTCCTGCCCAGATGGACATTTCCAGTGCTTCTGGCTCCTGCCATCACAAGCTGGGCCATGATGGGCATGACAGACTCCCCATGAAGAGGGGGAAGGTCAATGTGCCTGCACCCCAATGATTTAAGCCTCACATTCCACTCACTGGCTTCTACCGGAGCCTGAGCAAAAGCAGTGGTTGGCTGAAACCTTTCCTGGGAGGTTTCAGTCTCCAGACAGGGCTGTTCAGTCCTTGGTATCAATGAAAACCAGCTTTCCACACACCCAGGTGCCTGGGCCTGGCCCTGTTCAGAGCACCCACTCCTGGACTGTCTGGGTTTTTTTGTTTCTTTGTTTTTTGTTTTTTTCAGACAGTCTCACTCTGTCACCCAGGCTGGAGTGCAGTGGTGTGATCTCAGCTCACCACAACCTCCACTTCCTGGGTTCAAGCAATTCTCCTGCCACAGCACCCCTCCCACCCACCCACCCCCGAGTAGCTGGGATTACAGGCATGCACCACCATGCCCTGATAATTTTTGTATTTTTAGTAGAGACAGGGTTTTTCCAGGTTGGCCAAGGTGGTTTCGAACTCCCGACCTCAGGTGATCCACCCAAAGTGCTGGGATTCCAGGTGTGATCCACTGCCCCCAGCCAGAGCGTCTCTTAAATGGCCTCACTGTGTCTGTCTGTTGGCCACACAGGTGTCCCTCAGCTCCCCATGTGTGAGCCTGCAGAGAAAGCCAGTCCCCAGCTCTGAACAGCAGAGTCCAGAGAGCCCAGCCTCGTCTACCAAAAAGGTCTGGGGGCCCCATTTTCTTCAGAAGAAACTTTAATACCCCAATGTTGCCAGCTCATCGCCGACAAAGGCCTGAACACAGGCGTCTCCTGGCAACAGCCCCGAGCTGCGGTCAGCTCTGCCCACACCCCCACCACACTGCTTCACCCTCCTTTTCCACCGTCTGCCCCTTCCACACAAAACCCCGGGCCTTCCTCTCTCAGCACTTAATGGTATTAAAAGGCCCTGGCCTCTTCTGCCTGTAAAAAGAAAAACAGTTTTCTCTTCTAATCCAGCAGCCACTCTGGGAGGTTAAGTGAAGCAGCTGGCTCTGATTTTAAATCATTTCACATGTGGGTTGCCCCCACCCTCTGCCACCGCCCCACCACACTCCATCAACAAACACAGCTTCTGCTGGGTTCTGGGGACACAGAAAGCCCCCCAGCACTCAGGCCTGGTGAGAGAAACAAAAACATGAAGACATTCCAGCCAGCCCTTCCTGCGGGGGCCGAGGGCAGAGCCCCTGGTCTGTCTCTTGCTCCATCATCACCCGCCCCTATGAGGTCAGAACTGCTGTTTTGCCCACTTTCCAGATAAGGAAACAAGACACAAAGTAACTTCAGTCAAGGTCAAGAAGCCAGGAAGAGGTGAGGCCGGGCTCAAGCCGCTATCATCAGCGCTCCTGGATGGCCTGGATCCCCTGGGTGCACAGCCTTCCTCCAAGCAGAGCACATGCCTCCCTCTCATCCCTCCCTCTCTGTCTCTCTCCCTTCCTCTCTCTGTCTCTCTCTCTCCATCTGTCTGGCACGCTCTCTCCCTCTGTGCCCTGGACAGGTCTCTAAGCTGAGGGTTGAGAACCTGAGTGTCTGGGACGGACACCCCAGCCCTCTTTGGGCAGGCACCCAGTAAGGAGCCCCTGCTATTTGGGCCAGGGCTGGCCGGCAGTGCTGGGTCAGGATGGTCTCCAGGAAACGGCCCATCTTGGGTCCCAGTCTCACCTGTTCTGTGGCTCAGAAATCACAACCCTTTGAAAGCCCCCACCCACACCACTCCAGATCCTGATGCCTCCCCTCCTGTAACACCTCAGTTCCTATGCTTCTCACTCTGCAGATGATGGCTTCTGCCTCCCACAGCTGATTCCCTGCCTCCCACAGCTGACTGAGCTCTGAGATGGAGACTACATGTTCACTGTAGGCTGCAGTGCCCAGCCCAGGTCTGACTCAGAAGGTCCTCAGCACAGTATGGATGGTTGAATGGGTGGATGGATGGGTGGGTGGATGAATGCATGAGTCAATGGACACATGGATGGACAGGTGGGTAAGTAGATGAGTGGATGGATGGATGGATGGATGGATGGATGGACAAGTGGGTGGATGAACAAGTGGGTGGATAAACAGGTGGGTGAGTGGATGGATGGATGAATGCATAGATGGGATAGATGGATGGATGGATGGATGGATGGATGGATGGATGGATGGACAGGTGGGTGAGTAGACGGATGGATGGATGGATGGATGGATGGATGGATGGATGGATGGACAGGTGGGTGAGTGGATGGATGGATGGATAAATGGATGCACAGGCGGGTGAGTAGATGAATGGATGGATGTATGAATGGATAG